TCCCAGGACTTTTAAATCTTCTGTTACAAGTCAGGGTCTCACTGAGTCACCAAGTTGCCCAGGCTGGACTCAATATGTAATTCTACCTCAGCCCCCCAGAGTGCTGGGGTTACAGGTGTGTGCCACCAAGTCCAGCTCCCAGCCCTTTTTATTTCAGGGTCTGCTTAAGTTGCCCAGGTTGGCCTTGAACTCGAAGTCCTCTGCCTCAGCCTTCCCAGTATTTGGGATTGTAGGTATGCTCCATCACCCACACCCAGAACTACTCAAAACCCATCAGTGACTAATCCAGCACACCCATGGTCCACTCACCTCCTGAGTCCCACCTATGAGCACAAAAGGCTCTGGAGAAACATTTAGGTATCAGCTGTGACAGAGGGAATGGATTTTTTCATTGAGATATGCTAATTTTATAGTCATAGCTATTACTTTATGTGTTACTAAAATTTTTCTGAATATATCAAGTGTTTTATGTTGAACAAACATGTTTTTGGGGCACAACATTAATAGCAACAGTATTTTTGTTCCCTTTCTCTCTCCAAAACCGTTCACTGAAAGATCACTTTCTTGTACTTGGATGGGAATTTTGTTAACAGCCTGACTTTCCTACCAGGAAATGCCCAACCACTGTTTTTTTATTATTGCTGCTACTGAGGATTGAATCCAGGGAGTACATCCCCACCTTTTACTTATTTAATTTTGAAACAGTCTCACTAAATTGCCCAGGCTGGCCTCAGACTTTCTACTGTTCTGTCTCAGCCTCCCCAAGAGCTGGAATTACAAGTGTGGTCATGCATCTAGCCCAACCACACCTTAAACTGGGAAAGGCACATTCTCTGGCTTTGATCCCAGTCATCTCCCCTTCAGGATGGCTCTCCCTCCCCCGGACCCCTCTGGCCAGCAGGAATCATTCACATGCCCTCAAAGTCTAGGAGCTCAGGGTGACTCTTAGCTGCAGCCTGACCCTCTTTTCAGGGTTTGGGCAGTGACCAGGCTCACCCCACCCCACAGGTCAGAGGTCAGCCTAACAGCTCCCGTAATGCCCCTCATTGGGCCCTCAGTGAAGGTGACAGCAGTGCCATCCAGAACATTCCCAACTCCTTGCCCCACAGCCCCAGCTCAGACCCTCCCAACCCTTTTGGTGGACTGCAGGCTTCTATAGGGTTTTGAACTGGGTCCTCAAATATTTGTTTTGAAAATCTGGGCACCTGGCAATTTTCTCACTTTAGAATTTGTGTCTATGAATCTTGCTGCTTTGGTTAAAAGATCCAATTGAATGTCTTATTAAAGTAGCTCTATTGTACAGATGAAAACAATTTACTTTTGTGATCTAGAAGTCATTACATACACTTTTCGAGTATCTGCTCAATGGATGGCAATGTACTAGATATAGAATACAAAAGTAATGATGTGCAATGATTCTTGTCCTTCGGGAGCTTACTGTGGAGTTGATAAGGTCAGTACTGTTGTCCATTATAAAGATAGGGGAAAATTTGGTGGGATTTAGGTTTTTGGCTCTTTGGATCAAACCAGGTACTCATTTCTGTTGACTCTACCACCTATTAACGTATCTTATGTTGCTAGTGAGCTCAGTAATTCTCTAATTTATCTCAAAAGATTTCTGGTTTGAAATCTGATTAACCATTCCAACATATTTTCCAGACTTGAAAAAAAATTATTTTTTTCTGTGAACCCAGGGTACCCTTAAACATTTAAATGCTGGTTTTCCTGAACTCCACTTTTTTTTTTTTTTGGATGAGGAAGAAAGAGTTTATAGGAAACTAAAAAATGAGTAGAGGGAGATATGTTCCTGATAAAGTATATAAAGAATATACAATTATATACTCAAAGTTTTCATGAAACATTACAACTCATGAAGTTAAGGTACTGACATTAACAACAAAAATGAACTGATTTGAGGAAGATCAGTATGAAAATATTCTAATATAGTGATATCCAAAATAACTTTCTGTGATGATGGAAACATTCCATAGCTCTGTACTGTCCAATATGAAATCTGCTAGCCATGTGACCCCCCCCCCTCCTCCCCACCCTATACCAGGAATCAAACTCAGGACCTCACACTTCTCAGGCAGGCATGGCACCACTGAGCTACATCCCTGGCCCTAGCCATGTGAATTCTTGAAACGTGGTAAAGACAACTGAGGACATAAATTTTTTTTTTTGGTACTGGGGATCAAAGAGGCCATAAATTCTTAATGTAATTTAAACAGCCACATGTGACTAGTGGCTACCTACTCAACAGTGCAGTTCCAATGTTTCTTGAGTCAAAAACCAATGGTTGCTTTCAGAGGATTCCTCCAATTACTGCTAAGGGGTTGAAAGTCAAGTGTGGAAAAAGAGAAAAGCTCTTAATTTATTTCTCTGGCCACTTAAGATCTGAAATTATCCACAGCTTTTGGAGGCAAAGGCTGGCACAACCCACTCGGAAGAGTGTAAGGGAAGGACTCCTGAGTAAAACTCAGTATGCATGGCTTTCCAACTCCCAGCTAATGTCAGTGGGAATAAAAGGTGTAGGACTTTGGTCACTCAGGAAGATGCTTATGATTACACAGAATCAGGTTGTTTCCCTGGGGCCGTCTGTGCATGGAAATCACTACTGTGGAGCTGGTGGAGAGGTGGAGGTGGCACTCATTTTTGGACAGGGTTTGCAGAGCTAGATGAGGATTTAGAGGCAGAGGGACCCGAGGGCCCTTTCTGGCCACCTGGAGGCTGAACAGACCCTTTCTTCTTTGGGATAACAGTCTTGTTCTTGGTCTCAAACACTTTGCTTAGATTCTGCTTGTTCATGAAGGAGTTGGTCTCTCCTGTGAGCAGGTCTGTGTGGTACATGATGGGATTATATAAGCTGAACCATTGCTTGGCCTGTGGGCTAATGCCATAGCTGATGAAGGCATACTGCCACTGGGGCAGGCCCAGGTGGGTGATGAGCAGGTGATAATAGACAGTAAAAATATCTGTGAGAAAATGCCAGTGTAACGCTCTGTCCAGGAACCAGATCTCAGTGTCTTGTGCTAATGCTGGTTTTCCAGTCTGGTAGACAAGGCAAACCTTCCCATTCCTGTTGCATGAAGCCACGACAAATATCACACTTCAAAAGTCAAAATGAGGCTTCTCTGGCTGGTCCTCACTGACTTTGTATGTATTGTCCTCTAGGTCTGCCAGAGTCAGTGCATTAGGAAGTGAATACATAAAAGACTGGTTGAGCTCAGTTAGCTTTGAGATGCTGTTAATTGCCATGTTGCCCAGAGGAATGATGTACACATCTAGCTTCACACTCCAGGTCATGTGGAAGCCATTGGTCATCAGGTTAAAGTTCTTCATATCCTCAGGCATCATACAGTTATTTTTTTGTTCCCATGAAGAAATCATATGACATTCTGCAGATGCCTTTTCTATGATGGTCACCTCTGTCACACCTGGAGAAGATTCTAGGATGCAGCTGATGCCAAGGGTCAGCTTCTCCAGGGGTGGCTTGTTGCAGCTCATGGTGGGGGTGGTGTCTCCTCCATGGCTCTTGACCTGCTCGGTGAGCAGCTGGGAGTCTGGCAGAGAGCCCCAAAGGGCAGAGGAGGCTGGGACCCCACCTCAGTGCCTCGGCCTTTGAACTTGAGGCACACTGGGAGCTGTACTTCTTGATGCCTGAGAGCATGGTGGGGGAGGATGGGGGACCCAGGCTGGTCAGGCAGCAGCAGCTCGGTGGGGCACTCCTTGAACTCCACTTTTTTGGTAGAACTTTCTAATTATTTCATTATTCACAAGATCCTTTTTTCATTCTTTTTTTGAGACAGTGTCTCATTATGTAGTTCAGGCCAGCTTCAAATTCTTAATCCTCTCACCTCAGCTTCCTACTGCTGAGATTACAGGGATATACCACCATGCTTGGTTATCCTTGGGGTTTTTGATAATTATTTTAAGCAGTTTGCCTAATGATAAGGTTTCTGGTTGACTGTATACATTATTTCTGATTTAGTATCTATTTAAAATAGAGGGGAAGGGGCTGGGGATTTAGCTCAGTGGTTTCATCACCTGGTGCACAAGTGCAAGGACCCAAGTTCGATCCCTGGTACCAAAAATAAAAAACAAAAAAATAAAATAAAATAAAATAGAGGGGAAAATGTCAATTTAATTATTTCTAAACATTAACCACAAGCATTAGTTAAAATTAGCAAAGCTTTGGCCAGGGATTTAACTTAGTGGTTCTGCCACCTGCCTTGCAAGCACAAGGATCCAAGTTAGATCCCCAGTATCAAAAAAAAAATTAGTAAAGCTTGGTTTTATACCTGTTACGTAGCCAAGCTGTCCTCAGACAAATATAAGATAACCCTAAGATGACTATTTTAGACAAGTTCCAGGACTAGAGGTACCATGTACTCTTTCATGCCAGAATGAGGCATCAGCCAGGCTTGTGGGTGTGTTGGGAGCAATGCGCTATAGATCACTATGGCCAGGCCTAACTCACCTTCTCCCGTGAATAAGGCAGGGCTCTGAGGGAGGAGAACTGGTGACAAGAGGGTGTGGTGGACCAAGACCTGCCGAAGAAGAGGACTCTCTTTCTCCATGCCCATTCACTAGAAAACCAAGCATGATGTCCTGCAGACCTTAGCTACTCTCCTGGCTCCAGTTACAGACCAGCCCCTTTTACCTTTACCGCTATAAATAAACATGCAGCCATTTGCTTGGTGGTCTTTTTCTCCTATCAGGAGTGAAGGGTCCCACCTGGCCCCACCTATACCTTATTATATCTCTTTGTCTGTACTTCTTAATCTCTCACCATTGTTTCTCATTCTGTGAACCCTTCAGCCATGCAGGCTGTGGCAGGGGTGCATGCCTATGATTGCAGCACTCAGGAAGCCAAGGCAGGAGGATCATCAAGAGTTCAAGGCCAGCCTGAACTGAATAGTGAGACTCTGTTTCAAAAATAACAACATGCCTTTCAAAGAAGTGGATGAAAATGGATTTGAGGATCCATGGTGCCTCACCTACTTTAAAATAGTGTTAACAGGGGCCAGGGATTTAGCTCAGTGGTTCTGCCGCTTGCCTCACAAGTGCCGGGACCCGAGTTCGATCCCTGGAACCTAAAAAATAAAATAAAAAAATGTTGGGCCGGGGATTTAGCTCAGTGGTTCTGCTGCCTGCCTCGCAAGGGCAAGGACCTGAGTTCAAGCCCTGGTACCAAAAAAAAAAAAAAAAAAGTTTTAACAAGGGAGGGGATGGAGAGCTGGCAACTGGTGAAAGGCTGGGGATGGTGGCACACCCCTGTAATCCCAGCTCTTGGGAGGCTGAGGCAAGAGGATTGTGAGTCAGAGGCCAGCCTGGGCTACACAGCATGACCCACCAAAAAAGAAACTGAAAAATGGGTTTCTTTGAATTCAGCTGTGATTGTGTGTTGAGGGTGCTTTCTCTTCGCAAGCTGGTAAGAAGGACTCTAGCTGTGTCCTTGGAGCTCGAGACACACAGTATATTAATGTCAAACAAAAGGGCAAAAGGCTGTGGTGCTGGCTCCGGCACGAAGAGAGGCTGAGGCGGAGATATACCAGCACTCTTCCTGCAGGCTGCCTTGGCTGGAACCGAGATGCCTTATACAGGTATTCTGCCTGCGAGAGCAACTTGGAGAGCAAGGAAACTGAAAGAGAAGAGATGGAAGTGTGCTGCCAGGGGCTGGGGACAGAAGAAAGCACAGCTGCTTGTCAGAGGAGCACATGTGCTTGCATCCAGACCTGCAGACAGGAGACAATGTGCTGACAGTGACTAGGGAAGTGGCAGCAGGTGGGATCTGAGATGCCTCAGAAGTGCCCGTGAGCAGGTCGGCTCCCTGCCCAGGCCTGAGCGTTGGCACAGGGCATGCCATTGATGGTGGCATCAGCTGGTTATTCCTTCACCTCTTCTCCTGCCCTCAGCCTGGAAGCAGCCTTTTGCCCTTTTGTTTGATATTAGTATATGGTGTCTCTCAAGCTCCAAGGACACAGGATAGAGTCCTTCCCAGCTTGAGAGAAAGAAATGAGTAGCCCCTGTGTGGCACCAATGGTGTTGATGTGTCCCCTTATTGACCAAAGCCCTCCCCTGCAGCAAGCCTGAGTGGGGCAGCCAGGAGCTCCAGCTTGAGCTTGTTTGGATCTTGACATACATCTAAGACATTTTGTGATTGAAAGAAGAGGGTATTTGTGATAAGAAATGCCAAGACATCAGAGAGTACCAGGAAAAATCAGTGGCAGGAATTTGAGATTTCATCTTGGTCTAGGGAGAAGTTAACCCCTTCACAGCATGTTTGTAATTAAAATAGTGCAATCCAGGAATTAAAATAATGCAACCAAAATAAGTGTCACATTATGAGTATCCCTTGCTTGTTCAGTTAAATACACATACAGCTCACGGGGTAGATAACAATACTTTCAGCAGGGATTCTGAAAAGATATATTAAGGGTTACCCTGTGATCTATTAAGTGTTAGATCTATCAAACATTCTACTTAAGAACAGCCCATTCCGGAGTTTGATCCCCAGTACCACAAAAACAAAAAACAAAAAAACCCCTAGCCCATTTGTTAGAATACAATTTTCTGCCTTCTCACAATACCTAAAATAGTGTACACAAAATGTACCAAGTCTCATTGCCATGAGTTTTTCTGCTCCTAAATTATTTTATTATTATTTATTTTAGTGGGTTAAACTCATCCACATGATACAAAATCCAAACAAAAGGCTACACAGTGAAATATTTTTCCTCTTGTCCCTTTACAAGTTTCCCTAGAGACAACCATTTATAACAGGGTTTTTTGTTTCTGTTTTTGTTTTTTGGCAGGGTTTCACTCTGTGTTCCATGCTGCCCTTGAATTCACTATGCACCCCAGGCTGGCTGCAAACTTGTCATTGTCCGGCCACAGCCTACTGCCTGCTAGGATTATAGGTGTACACTAGCATCCCTGGTATATTAGCAGTTTCTTATGTGTCCCTTTTGGCTCTAGCTCAAGAAATGAGGCTAGACTTTTGGTTGAGGCTGGTTGTCCAAACATGAGAAGAGATAAATTAGCCAAGAGACTTCCAGGAGAGTAATGACTTGCAGAATGACTGTTTACATTACAATCAGAGGCCGGGTCTGGATGGACTGGGCAGAACTACTGGCTTACAGGAGACCCAGGGAGTGTTAAAGTTTCTATGGTAGGATCTAGCATCGTGGCTCCAATTTATACAGGCCCCTGGGCTATGGCTGCTTTATGCTCCTTCAGGGAAGAGCCTCATCTGCTTGAATACAAGTCATTCTGAATTTAAAACATTTGATGTAATAAAGCATCAGGTGCAGTATCATGGCTGGAGACACATAGCTGGTGGATATAGAGCACTCACCACCTCTGCTGTCACCATCATGACCAATACTGATTGAGCTCTCACTGCGTGCAAGGTGCCATAGGAAGCACTTGACACTCATCATAAGGAAGCCATGGCATAAGTACGGTGACATGGCTGCTTTACAGATGAGGAAACTGAGTCCTGGGAAGGATGGTGAAATCCCTCAGGATGCTGCAGTAAATAGATGAAGCCAGGATGGAAACACAAGCATTCTATCAGACTGACCTGTTATTAGCGGGCAATCAAGGAAGTGTAAAATACGGATGTGAGGACAGTAAGTAACCACGGCCTTTAGGGCAGCATCAGTCAGGTGAATACAGTGTCCCATGTGAATCTCCTAGTTACAAAAAGAAAATCAAAGAAAACTGATCAACAGTGACAATATGAAAAAGTGTAGGGGACACTGATACAAAAAGAGCTAAGCATTTACTTGTGAATAAACAAAACAAATACACAGTAGATTAACTTATTAACTTATCTTGTCATGAAGTTTTATTTTTTCATAAAATAAAACTATGTAGAAAGGAACATTTTTAAATGAAAATACCTCCTTGTAAGAGTGGATGTAAATCTCCAACATGTTGGTTTAGACCTTTGGGAAAATAGTACTGCTGTATCTCATAAAGCTGAACATATGGTGGCAGTGTACCCAGCAATTTCACTCCCAAGTTTTTACCCAAGATAAATGAAAACATGTCTAAATAAAGGCATGGATGCAAATGTCTATAGCAGAATTTATGAAAGTCTAAGGCTGAAACACCCAAATGCCCACTGCTTGAGAAAAGTATAAACAAATTATGAAAGACCTACATTATAGAATACTACTCAGCAATGAAAAAGAATGCAGTTTCCACTTGGAGCAACATGCACAAATCTCAAAACATCACGCTAACTGAAAGAGGTAATGGTAAGGAAAGAAGTAAAAACAATGGACTATAATGAGCACACATCTATTCTTGGATGGCCTTTCTACCTGGCTGGACAGCATAGCTGTCCAGAAAGACAGGACGGGAAAGGTTTAGCTGTCTCAGAGGAAATGTCAGACATGAACTCTTGAACAGCTAGGAGATCAATTTTGACAACTCACACATCAGGAGACTCCTTGGGTCTGTTAGAAGCTAAAGCTTCTGGGAAGTAAGATTTTCACTGGGGTTTTAATGTGCTTTTATTTTCTCACTACTAATTTTTATTTTCTCTGGGAATAAAGAGGTTGGGGCAAAAAAAAATTCCAAAAATATCTGATTGATAAGACATGGGTCTACTAGGTTTAAGAAATAATTTCTGGGGCTAACTAAATTTAGTTGCCATTATTGTTATAGATACTTAAGTTACCTCTAATTTCTTGGCACAGAGCCCACTAACAAGCGCAACCACACCGCTGTCAGATACCTAAGCAAAGGGAAAAAGAAACAGCCCATGAATGAAGATGAAGAAAGCAGAATTTTCTAAAATTCATTAATCATTTAATTGCTTTCTATGCAGCAAATATGAATTTTCCTCATACATACTTCCCACTCATGCTATTTAAAATAATTAATATGCCAAATTATAATTTTTTTCAAATTATAATTATTTAGCCACCCAAAACATTAAATGGCTAACAGTTTCAACAACAGAAAGAATTAATGATGTTCTGACTAGTCATGGAAATACATGGGGCCTGCACATAATCTTTACATTTTAGATGTGTCAGTTATTTACCTGAGTAGCTGAAAAGTCCACATACTTCAAAAGTGAGCAGTTCTCTCCTAATGCACACAAGGACACATCAGTGATACTTAGGCATCCACTTAAGTCAATAAACTCGAGCAGCCGGCAGTTGAGTGCAAGAGCAAGGACTCCTTCATCAGTGAGGCTGTAGCATCTTTTCAGAGAAACTGCTTCCAGATATGAACAAGATGAAGCCACAGCTTTTATTCCTGGGGGGAAACACAGATCAATGGGCTCTCCATGTATGCTTGTGTGGGCTATAAAGTTAGTGTCCCCAAACAAAGTTCATGACAGAACTTCAAGGGGGCATGAATGAGCTGACCAACTTCTCTTTCCACAGGAGCAGACACAGGCAGGCTTGTGAGGGCCTGAGATATAGAACTGGAGGCTTATTTTACAAAGATGACTTCAGCACTCTAGGAATGAGCCATGACTCCCAACTTATGTCTGACCTAACATTCTCACAAGCATTAGGTAAGCCTTCTAGGATGTATGCTAGATTTAACTGAACATCCACAGCTCAATAAAGAATGGATCCAATTTAGTGTTCTCATTAAGTCTTCTCATTGAGAACACAGTAAGAAATGTTGTCAGCTAATGGCAGAATATCAGCTCTACTTTATGCCACTTCCCCCTCCACACATCAGAGGGCAGAGTACAAGGACTCTATGAGCAGCTCAGTTGACCCGGACTCTCTGCAGTGATGGGAGTGTTTTGCATGCCTGTCTACTGAGGCAGCCCCAGTGGAGTGCCCTGATGATCTGACACACGGCATGAGACTAAAGAACAGATGCTCTGACTGAACTCTTTTACATTTATTGCCACAGGTGGCTGGTGGACAACCCTGCTGGACACCACAGTTCTGCAGTTTACACGACAAGGCCATATGATGTTAGTATACCCGGCTGCCACTAAGTAGCTGTGTGGTGTGTGTGTGTATGCAGAACCTTGTCTGTGAGTTACTTGCATGTCAGTACTTGTTGGTGAAGTTATGGGAGAGGAGAGCTAGTGATTCCATTGCTGGCCTTGCTGATTAACCACACCAAGATGCAGAAACAAACCAGCTGGAGCCAGTTCTCTAGAGCCAGCATGCTCAGATAGCTCTGGGGTCAGTGAATTATACACCTTCATATGTGAATGGAAATACCAACTCAAGAGAGTCATGAAATTAAATGACCAAATGTGGGAGACCATGAGCAGAGTGTGTGACAACTGGTAGAGGCTTGATAATATGTAACTTTGCATTTACCAAAACCTTCTGTTTCACTTCCTGCTCTTTAATTTGTCACATAAGCTAGCATTTTTTTTTTTTTTTTTTTTTTTTTTGGTACTGGGGATTGAACTAGGGACCTTGCCCTTGTAAGGCAGGCGGTGAAACCACTGAGCTAAATCCCCGGCCCTATCACACAAGCTAGCATAAGGTTGTGTCAGATGGAAATGAATGTATAAATAGGGGATGTGAAATTGTACTCATCCTCCACCCTCCCCAAATAAATACTATAAATATTACACTTAAGATTTTCAGTGGAAGAAGGATGTCTTTGTCACAATAATTTGTATAAAATAACCAACCAATGGGAATAAGGAGGGTTCCTCTTTTAAAAAGCAGTGTTTGTAGGCCAGTTACATTGGTTCTTTTCTTTGCTAAATTTTTGTTTTCTTGGTAAAGTATGTTCAGTGGTATTAAGTAAATGATTAATTTATTTTGGGTTCAAAGACAAAGCAATATATTAATATGAAATAGCATTAAAACCTACATGAAATAAAAGTCAAATTCAAAATAGTGTTTATGGAGAAGTGGGGATAAAATGAGGTCACAGAAGGAAAGAGGTGGGTTATGTTTTCCCTATGTTTTAAAAAATGAGTGAAGTATGGCAAAATGTTAAAGCTTAACCAAACTGTGCTTTTAATACCTAAATATTTATTATGTCATTTCCAGTTTTATGTATTCTTTTAATTTTTTATTTTGACCTAATTTTTGCAGTGCAGACAAGCTGCAGACCTGGTAAAGGGTATTCATAGACAGTACCTGTCTTGCCTTCAACGTGAGCAGCTACATGGCCAGAGCTCAGCAGTGAGACTAGGACAGTAACACTGGTCTGTCTCTGTTTTTTGTTTTTAAAGAAAACCATCATATTAGCTTAACCTATCAATCAGAAACTTCTTCCTTAAGATTTAGTTTCCAAGTCATATTGAGTAAAATGGATTTTAGAAAACACTGCAGTTTTTTTTTTTTCCAATACCAGGGATCAAACTTGGGACCTTGTGCTTGTGAGGCAGGCAGCAGAACCACTGAGCTAAATCCCCAGCCCTAACACTGCAGTTCTTAAAGACACTATTATTACTGGCTTTGGACCTAAAACATTACAAATTCACAACATGTTATCATTTATTATTGTTATCATTACAAATCCACAACATGTTATCATTATTACTGTTGTTGTTATTTTGGTTTAAAAATTTTTTTCCATTAAGTTTATTGATACATTTTAGATATAAAATACATTTACATTCATAATTGGGATCTTGTACCTTTACATGATGTATCTTGGTTCTTATTTTTTTTCCCTTCCCCTGCCCTCCCTTCACCCCCTCCACCCTTCTCTATTTGCAAAGACTTTGTTTCCATTTTTTTCCTTTTCTCATATTTTTTCCTTCTCCCTTCTTTCCACTACCCCTCCCACTTCCCCTACTCCTTTAGACCTTTTCTTCCTATTACACAATATCAATTATACATTGTTTTAATTACAATATCAAAATTTAGAGGACATTACTACAGATTTTACAGAATTTAAAAGGATATAGAAAGCATATTACAAAAATTCTTTCTGAAATAAATTTGACAACTTCTAAGAAGTACCTTGGAAGGCAAATTAATGAAAGTAACTCTGGAGGAAATATAAAATTTGAATAGCACCTATTAAAGAAGATATATTCCTAGTTTGAAAACCTATCTATATGAGAACAACAGGCTCATATACATTTGAACTGATGAATTTTATCAAACATTTAAAGCAGAAAAATGAAGGAACACATCTCCCCTCATTTTAGGAAATCAACATTGTGCTAATCCTAAAACTGGATAAAGATAATAGAAGAAAAAAGTATGAACATAGAAATTTGTTTAACAAAACAAACTATTAGAAGTCAGATCTGGCAGTATGTAGAAAGTG